CTCAGGCACCCCGTCACCTCAGGCACCTCCTCACCTCAGGCACCCCGTCACCTCAGGCACCCCGTCACCTCAGGCACCCCGTCACCTCAGGCACCTCCTCACCTCAGGCACCCCGTCTCCTCAGGCACCCCGTCACCTCAGGCACCCCGTCACCTCAGGCACCCCGTCACCTCAGGCACCCCGTCACCTCAGGCACCCCGTCACCTCAGGCACCCCGTCACCTCAGGCACCTCCTCACCTCAGGCACCCCGTCTCCTCAGGCACCCCGTCACCTCAGGCACCCGTCACCTCAGGCACCCCGTCACCTCAGGCACCCCGTCACCTCAGGCACCCCGTCACCTCAAGCACACCACGTCACCTCAGGCACCCCGTCACCTCAGGCACCTCCTCACCTCAGGCACCCCGTCACCTCAGGCACCTCCTCACCTCAGGCCCCCCCCACCTACACCCCGTCACCTCAGGCACCCCGTCACCTCAGGCACCTCCTCACCTCAGGCACCCCGTCATCCTCAGGCACCCCGTCACCTCAGGCACCCCGTCACCTCAGGCACCCCGTCACCTCAGGCACCCCGTCACCTCAGGCACCCCGTCACCTCAGGCACCCCGTCACCTCAGGCACCTCTCTCACCTCAGGCACCCCGTCTCCTCAGGCACCCCGTCACCTCAGGCACCCCGTCACCTCAGGCACCCCCGTCTCCTCAGGCACCCCGTCACCTCAGGCACCCCGTCACCTCAGGCACCCGTCACCTCAGGCACCCCCGTCACCTCAGGCACCCCGTCACCTCAGGCACCCCCGTCACCTCAGGCACCCGTCACCTCAGGCACCCCGTCACCTCAGGCACCCCGTCACCTCAGGCACCCCGTCACCTCAGGCACACCCCCGTCACCTCAGGCACCCCGTCACCTCAGGCACCTCATCACCTCAGGCACCCCGTCTCCTCAGGCACCCCGTCACCTCAGGCACCCCGTCACCTCAGGCACCCCGTCACCTCAGGCACCCCGTCACCTCAGGCACCCCGTCACCTCAGGCACCCCCGTCACCCCAGGCACACCCCCCCCCCCCCCTCAAAATGTATCTACATGGAATATTAATTAATCTGATGAAGACATAATTATATATCAGTTGCAGATAATTTTCAGTTAGGTTAAACATGACAACTAAAACATCCAACATTTTCATAATACTGTTTATTTAAAACTTTTTAAACATGTTTTGAAAATTTAAAAATACGTAAATCAGTTTAATTAAACTATTAACTGAAAATCTAAAATTATAGTTCAGAATTTGAACAGCAACATTTCCATTATTAAACTGAATTAACCGAGACATTTCCATTATACAATTTAAATTTTTTTTCAACGTTGAAGGTACTGAAGAACAGAACAAAACTTACATTGTTCTAATATCTGAAATTAAAAATAAACACTGTACGTACATGTAGTAATAGCTAAAATTAAAAATTCGTAAATTGAAATTTAGGAACATAACATCTCATTTTGGGAAGTTCTGTTGTTGTGAGGAGAGTAATTGTTCCCTCCAGTGATGAACAATCTTCACTGCTTAAGAAATGGTGAACTCCAATATTTACTGGTTTGCCAGAGATGGAAGACCTATCATATTTTCTTTCCAACATTCTCTTGTATTTCCTGTTTTTTTTTTTTTTAGGCCATTACCATATATTGGTCTTTTATTTAAACACCAGCGTGTTTGTACTTGGATGCTACTTTTTGTGATTTGAAAAAGGATCCCAAAACAGACAGATGTCTGTGACGTGATGTTGCTGGGAATGCTCACTACAATTTCTTCACAACATTCAATTTGCACTTGGTGGGGTTAAACTCCAGGAGCCATCTATCAGACCTGGCCTGTAGCCTGTCCAGGTCCTCGTTCGCTTGTATTATCATTAGTTTCACGTCTTCTGCCAACTCAAGTTCTTCCATCCTTGCTACACCATGAGTTTCATCATCAGACTCGGTACTGTTTGACACTGCTAGGAAACCAGTTTCACTCTTTGAAGTCTTGAAGCTGCTGAATCCTCTCCTGAGTTTCCTTCAGCTCATTCTCAATATTGTTAAGGTTTGTTTTACCTGACTTACCGTTTCTAGATCCCAGATATAAGAATAACCTCTTCGGTACATTGGCATTGAAGAAGTTATTCTTTTATTGAGGATCTAGAAATATGTCGAGTATCATGTTGCAGTCACTGGTGTAATTCTCGAACCTATCACTGTTATCACTGACATTTTGAGAGCTGATAAAGAACGAAAAGGAACAATACAGTGGCTGGAACATTACATAACCCGCACATAGGAGAGAGAAGCAACGACGGAGTTTCGGTCCGACTTGGACCATTTACAAAGTCACACTCAAAGCTTGTTGTTCTTGACGCAGTATTTCTGAGACCCCACAGTTTCTTACACTAAAACATGTAGTTATTTCGTGAAATATTATTAACAAAGAAAACTTGGAAATAAGATTCCACTTATTTCCATCAATACATTTCAATTTTTTTTTTGTTGTTCACAGTTCCGATCTAACATTAGAAGTGTTATTCTTGCAGGTCGACTTTCTGAATGAACTTGTGCTTTGGTAATTTATTTTCTAAAGAATTCTCTAGTTAGCAATAATGACTTATTAATCACTTCTCCAGAATAGACTTGAATGACAAGCTGAATTATATGTAGGAAGCATGACAGATTGTCGCATCCTGTCCCTTCAATTTCTTTAACAGCATTGGCACCATTATCTCATGTTATCAAATGAATTTTGGAAGCTGTGATGTTCACTGCTGTGTGGGATCCAGGAAATGACATCGCTCTGAGGACAACAATTTTCTGAAAAAAAAAGCTTTCCTGAGACAGTGTGCTGTTAAACTTCGTTGCATTCGTCCATATATTAATGTTTTAAGAATATTGACTAGCATCGGCAGTTTCTTCACAGACCGATACCATAAAAATGACTGATATCCAGAGATACCAATACCGATACTTTAGCACACTCCTTATATAGATCTTCCCTTCATACTTTCTGGTTGATGTCAGTAGACATGATTTGGGGCCGTTGCGTGATAGGTGGTGTTGACCCGCGGTATAGTCTTGAGGTCACCTTCAGGTAAGCCTGTGATCGTTGTTAGTCTCAGCGTGTATACGATTGTGTATCACGCTACAGTTGTTATTGACACTTTTCTTGATCCCAGACGCTCACCAGAACCTGGCTCAAACCGGTCTGCCAGGGGAAAAGAACCCTGGAAACCGGTCGCATGTAATTATGTGATGATGTGGGAGGTTGTGTTATGTGTTTAAAATTATTAAAAGTGTTCGCATTTGTACCAGAGGAAATAATGTATATAAGAGAATGCATTATACATTATATAGGCTAAATTGAGTGTACGAATGTTAGATACACGAGTGGTGCAGGCGTGTGTGGTAGTTACTGCAGCAACCGTTCTTACTACAACTTTGTAAGTATTCTACCTAGACACTGGTTGATAAGGTCACAGAGTGATCTGATGGTAGCGACCAGGTGGTAGTGACTGCCAGGAGGGAGGTGTGGCACTGAGAGGAAGGAGTGAGTGAGGGAGAGTGGCAGATGGTCTCCGAGCCAGCCTTGACTCCGACTACAGCTTAATATAACCTGCATGTCAGCCCCAGGAGCACCACGTCCACTTTATTGCTCACCTTGTGTGTAAACACTGCCACGCCCTCCTTTCCCCCACCCCCGCCGCCGTTGTTACTACCACCACAACCTTGAGACAGGCACACTGCTGCTACCACCGTTGTTACTATGACAGTCTTCAAACAGGCACACACCCAGCGCTGTGCTAAATAAGAAAGCACACGGTAATAGTTACTTTCAGAGAAGTCGATAAGTATAAAAGCTCAAGGGTTTTCATTACCCTTTAGATGTGAAGGGAATTACCAGTAAAGGGTTACTGGGAGGATAAACGAGTGACACTGGGAGAAGAAAGGAGTGGTACCAGGAAAAACGGGTGCTACTGGAAGGAGGTAGTAGTGACACAGGAAGGATAGATGAATGACACACAGAGGATGGAGTGGCACTGCGGGGAGTGAGGAGTAGCACTGGGAGGAGGGAGGAGTGGCACAGAGTGATTTTGGGAGTAATTTCGGTGTGCAGAATTAGGAATAATCTATTAAGAATTTTCCAGGAGTAAATTATGCCTTTGAGATAAGCATTGACAAATTTTTTTTCCATGAAGTTCTTGATAAGCTGGGCTGTGGTGTCCAAGCTGGGCTGCTGCAGCTGACACCAACACCTGCGAGGCTTGATCTGGGAGCTGGCTAGCGGCACCTCTCAAGGGGAAGTTACAGTACTCAGCGTGTTGTTGATATTCTTCATTCCTTATCATAATAGTTGTTGTTATAAGTATGAATGGTCTCCATAATTGTTATACTTGTCTACAGCAGAAATGCTTCGGTAATAAAACTTGGTCATTCTTTACTAATTTTGGGTTATTGAATACGAAAAATATGCTTAATATTGAAAATTGTCTGTGTGAAGACATGGAGTCAGGCCGGCTGCTCTTATGCTTGACCTGGGAAGGGAGGGTGGTAAACATAGGGTTCAGGTGAAAGGCTCTTGATTCACACCAACGAGACGTTATTGTTTATATATACAGTTTTAACCATTTATACAGTTTTCTATAGCCACAATACGTAATTTATTAAAAATACAATTTATTTTAGCCAATCAATTGTCACTGTGGTTGTAATCGTTTTCAGCTTCCCAAAAACCGTAAGTGAAACACTTTTTTTTTTCTTTCCGAAACACAAAATTATTCAAAATTTTAGATAAGTATTATCATCCACTAACATAGCTGCTTCCACTGCTATAAGATCTTGCTAGTAAATTAAAAACTAAATTGGATGTGAACTATTAAATTAAAATAGAGACCAATATAAGTGAGTGAAGTAAAAATAATGTGTCAAGTGTGTGAGAGTAGTAAGAGCTGCGGGGACGTCAGCACCGGTGGACTCGTCAGGTGGGCAAACATAAACTAGATGCAGAGTTTTTTCCCAGACCATCTTAGGTTTTTCACCTACTCGCATGACTCTGCCAACAGATGGAGGAGCAGCGTTCTCACTCACCGAGACGCCCAGTGACGCTCAAACCACAGATGATGGAGGAAGGCTTTTGAAGGTGTGTGGAGAGGTTTATGAGAGGGAAGGTAGGACACCTGCCATAATTCTTTACAGCTGTGAAGGTAGAATTTAGTGTTGCAAGGAAAGAATGTGATGCACATGAAGGAGCATAGTGAAAAGCATCAGTGGACCAAGTTAGAAGTAAAGCCTAGATGAGGATGACGCTAGGCTGCGGTGTTGAGCTGATTTAGGTATCCATTATACGTAAACATTATTATTATTTTTATTGGCTTTTGAGTTTTGGTGCTTTTCATAGTGTGTTACAGAACCCTACGGATTTAACGTTTTCCCACGATAATAATAAAATGTTTGGTTTTATTTGTAATATTCACATAAGCCATGTTGTGAGTAGTGGTGGTGTGAGGCTTGTAAACAAGACAGAATACCCTGGTAACAATAATACATACACAACACGCACTTACCACACGGAAACTTAAGACGACATTTCGGTCCAATTCTAACCATTCACAAGTCACACAATAAGTCACAGTGTGACTTATTAATGGTTCATTGTTGGAACGAAATGTCATCAAAAGCTTCAGTTTCGTCAGTGCGGGTTACTTGTGCATTGTTTCAGCTAGGGTATTGAGACTTTTTATATGTATGTATAATGTTACTAACGAGTGTTGCGTTGTTTCAGAGCTCAGGCATCGGGGAGGCGAGTGTGTACCACGCGCTGGTGGTCATCTTCCTAGAGTTCTTCGCCTGGGGTCTCCTCACGTCTCCCATGATCACCGTGAGTGTACTCTACCTCTTTTTGTTACATTACTTCCTCCACATGATTAGCTTTTAAGGAATATACTCTTCAAGACCGTTGCATGTGTGCAGTATGATATTAACCATACCTTTACACGTTGAAGCAAATGGTAATAGAAAGAAAGGTGAGGTAGAAAGGGGAGAGATGGACGCACAAACTCTTTCATAATAGGTAACCTTAATTTAGTTTTAGATTCATCACATCTTGGAATACTTAACCTAGTTTTTGATAATAAAATTTCGAGTAGGCTAAGGTCATTTCTAGACTCAGAAGGAGTATTTCTTCTTGAACCATTTTAAAATCTTGGCTGGAAAATCTTGCGACTGAAGCACAGATAACTGGTAACTTTCTTAACTATTGTAAGACCGTAGCCAACAAACATAATCCCGAAATAAATGTAAGGTATCTTTGTGGCACACGCATCGCTTGTACTTCAGGGAAAACATTTGTGAGAGCTTGTTGAAGTGTGCTTCTGTGAGTACCATGTTGATGGATGACTGACATCTCTGTGTTATAGTGTATTCAGCTTGATCTTAATTCCTGACTTGTGTTAAGGTTTTGAGTAGATGCGATGCTTCAGCAAGCTGTGTAACGCTGGAAGCCTCATCACTCCCTTCTCCATGTGTCTCAGTAACTTAATGTTGTTTATTCCAACACCTTCGCTGCTTTGCTCGCTGTTCACCGCCTCTTTATTGTACACTCTTACTTTGATCCTTCTCTTTATATCCAGCTTTTTCTCGTCCTTTCATCTTCCTACACTTCTCTCCCTCCACTCTGTTCTTCCTCTTGCTCCCTCTATTATACTGACTGTCATTCAGTGTACATTGGCATAGTAGTGTGTAAATTCACCTGGTAGCTCACGCTTCCTCCTACACAATTTGTGAAATTCTCATTTCTCAAGTATTCAAATTTTGACCTAAATTAATATTTTATATAAATATTTGTGTATAACGTGACTGTAATGTTGTGCTTTACATATGGTTAGACAATAATATGCTAAATTAAGATAATAGTGGTCATCTTACAACCATCGTGAGATAGACAGCGGTGCGCGAGGATACTTTTTACACAACACTTCAATACCTTCACAGTTCTGGAGTTTTCTTATACTTTGGCAATTTGCTCAGAATATGACTTCCTCTAGGACCAAACTTTTATAACGTATTTACATTTTTCCTGAATGCGACCCACAACCGTTGGTTAACATAGGTATTTGTTTTTTTACTGCTAGGCCAAAAAAGGAAAAACTTAAAAAACATAAAATGCTGAAAAAAGTCAAGCAAATGGTCTTTTAAAATATATGATTATCAGTATGTATGTGAAATTTCTTAAACTAGCGTTCTGTGTTGGTCACTGGTCAATATAATACAATGAAAACTAGCCAATAATAGGAGTGAGCGATAACAACCGTAGCCTTCCCGTGTGCCTGCGCTTCTCTCTGCCTGGGAATCAACTCTGGTGACCCTGAGTGTGAGTGGAATTTTTCTCAGGAGTAAGCTTCTCGTCGACTCTAAAATGGCTAGGTTGTCCTGAACTTAGCGGTGGTCACTAACACGAAACAAGTTGAAATTAAAATGGTTTTGAAAAAAAAATATGAAGTGCTATGTCATTATGTGTACCTCAAAGGACTGGCGTGGAAATTAATATGAAAACGGTATAAAATACCGACAAGTTGATAAGACACATATGCAACAGTTATGTATCTTTATTCAGTAGACTTCTTCAGTCGAGTAGAGAAGAGTTTAGCAGAAACAGTAGAGACGTGAAGATGTAATCAGTCCATCACCCTCGAAGACGTAGTTTAAACTTGTCTGTATTTTATACCATTTTCATATTCACTGTCAGACACTGCAACAGATCGGTATCTTGGTACAGACAACACCTTTGACAACTTTTCAAGTGAGAAAGGATGGATTTGAGAGAAACGTTCCCTCTCAATGATGACTTTTCTTCTACTAGTGAACTACACCTCACCTTCCGACTGCTGCTTAAACTTCACACTTTTCCGGACTATGGACCAAAACTCTTATCCAGGCTGAGGGACTGACCACCTCAAAACTACGTCTTCAAGGGTGATGGACTGATTACATCGTCTTCACATCTCTACTGCTTCTGTTAAACTCTAATGTACTCGACTGAAGAAGCCTACTGTGCAGGCGAAACGTTTCGATTAAATATACCTAACTGTTGCTTAGGTGTCTTATCAACTGGCGTGAATTAGAATCTCATGACAAGCCAGTGCTAAAACTAGTAGGAGTGGTAACTTTCATCAAATTAGCTACATGTTCGTTTTCTTGCATCTCCCTGGCGGATATTGGAGTGGAAAAAATCTGGAAGTGGAGTGTATTTACCTGCAATGTACCTGTGGCTAATTACCTGAGTCATCGTCCCCGCGGCCCGATCACACACCAGTTCTTCTGTTTGATGGACTGAGGAATCAGACCCGAGTAATTTAAAAGTTGCGTGTCATTGATGTTTGACCACAGTAACTGCGTGTAACACCTCCACAAACACACTTAGAGAATTGTTATTGAGTGGTAAACACGTGCTTGAAAATAACAGAGAGGGTGTAGAAATATTTTGGTGGACGGGGATTAGTAAGTTTATCCTGGTGATTATTATCAGGTAATAATAATTTTGAGTAGTAATGTACGTGGTGGTATGTTACTAGTATGATGTACGTGATGGTATGTTACTAGTGTGATGTACGTGATGTTATTAGTGTTATGTACGTAATGGTATGTTACTAGTATGATGTACGTGATGGTATGTTACTAGTGTGATGTACGTGATGTTATTAGTGTTATGTACGTAATGGTATGTTACTAGTGTGATGTACGTGATGGTATGTTACTAGTGTGATGTACGTGATGGTATGTTACTAGTGTGATGTACGTGATGGTATATTGCTAGTGTGATGTACGTGATGGTATATTGCTAGTGTGATGTACGTGATGGTATGTTACTAGTGTGATGTACGTGGTGGTATGTTACTAGTGTGATGTACGTGATGGTATGTTACTAGTGTGATGTACGTGATGGTATATTGCTAGTGTGATGTACGTGATGGTATGTTACTAGTGTGATGTACGTGATGGTATGTTACTAGTGTGATATACGTGATGGTATGTTACTAATGTGATGTACGTGATGGTATGTTACTAGTGTGATGTACGTGATTGTATATTGCTAGTGTGATGTACGTGATGGTATATTGCTAGTGTGATGTACGTGATGGTATATTGCTAGTGTGACGTACGTGATAGTACATTACTGGTGTGATGTACGTGATAGTACATTACTAGTGTGATGTACGTGATGGCATATTGCTAGAATGATGTACGTGATAGTATATTGCTAGTGTGATGTACGTGATGGCATATTGCTAGTATGATGTACGTGATGGTATATTGCTAGTGTGATGTACGTGATGGTATATTGCTAGTGTGATGTACGTGATGGTATATTACTAGTGTGATGTACGTGATGGTACATTAGTAGTGTGATGTACGTGATGATATATTGCTAGTGTGATGTACGTGATGGTATGTTGCTAGTGTGATGTACGTGATGGTATATTCCTAGTGTGATGTACGTGATGGTATATTGCGTGTGATGTACGTGATGATACATTACTAGTGTGATGTACGTGATGGTGCATTACTAATGTGATGTTACATTACTAGTGTGATGTACGTGATGGAACATTGCTAGTGTGATGTGCGTAATGATATATTACTAGTGTGATGTACGTGATGGTATATTACTAGTGTGATGTACGTGATGGTATATTACTAGTGTGATGTACGTGATGGTATATTACTAGTGTGATGTACGTGATGGTATATTACTAGTGTGATGTACGTGATGGTATATTACTAGTGTGATGTACGTGATGGTTATATTACTAGTGTGATGTACGTGATGGTATATTACTAGTGTGATGTACGTGATGGTATATTACTAGTGTGATGTACGTGATGGTATATTACTAGTGTGATGTACGTAATGGTATATTACTAGTGTGATGCACGTGATGGTATATTACTAGTGTGATGTACGTGATGGTATATTACTAGTGTGATGTACGTGATGTTATATTACTAGTGTGATGTACGTGATGTTATATTACTAGTGTGATGTACGTGATGGTATATTACTAGTGTGATGTACGTGATGGTATATTACTAGTGTGATGTACGTGATGGTATATTACTAGTGTGATGTACGTGATGGTATATTACTAGTGTGATGTACGTGATGGTATATTACTAGTGTGATGTACGTAATGGTATATTACTAGTGTGATGTACGTGATGGTATATTACTAGTGTGATGTACGTGATGGTATATTACTAGTGTGATGTACGTGATGGTATATTACTAGTGTGATGTACGTGATGTTATATTACTAGTGTGATGTACGTGATGTTATATTACTAGTGTGATGTACGTGAGGGTATATTACTAGTGTGATGTACGTGATGGTATATTACTAGTGTGATGTACGTGATGTTATATTACTAGTGTGATGTACGTGATGGTATATTACTAGTGTGATGTACGTGATGGCACATTAAAAGTTACATAAGTACAGGTTACAGAGGTGAGGTTGTAATGATAATTTGTATAAGGCTCTTTTTTTTTTTTTTCCTCTCCTGCACTCTTTCTCCTATTCCTTCCTGCACCCTCTTCTTCTTACTCTTCCGCACTCATTCCTCCATACCCTTATTCCTCCACATTCCTTCCTCCACCCTCTATCCTCCACTCTGCACCTCTTCCTCTTCCTTGCTCAGAGGTGTTGGTTGAAATACTGGAGGTTGGCGAGATTAAAGTTTGGTGAGTTTTGTCATCATTATGCCTAGAGTGTGTTAACTGATGATGTTGAGGGTGTGTGCTGCACAAACTTAGCAGTGGCAGGGGACGTGCAGGTGGGGAGGTGCAGCGGGAGGGGAGGTGCAGGGGGCAGCGGGAGGGGACGTGCTGGAGGCAGCTGGAGGGTACGTGCTGGGGTTGTGTGTGGTGACTGGCTCTTCCCGCCTGGGGATACACATCCCCTCCTTCAACAAACACAGCATGTCCTTAAGGCAGCTGGTTTTTTTTTCACCAGCTGGTGTTTTTTACAAGTGGCGGCGCGTGTGTGTTCATACACTACCACTGACATTATGAACACACGCCCAGGGTCAGGCGGTTGAGTGTACTTTCCTAGTTGTGTGTGCAGGAGTCAGGTCACAGCTCCTAGCCCTGCGTCGTAGCCTCTGAAGACTGGCTGCCATGGTTCCTAGACTCTAGGCCAGGGTTCTATCATCTCTTGAAACTGTGTGGCGTCTTACCACCTCGTGTAACTTGTTCCACGTACTATCATGAGATAAAAGTATTCTTAATATTCATGTTGCTCATCTGCGTATTTAACTGTCATCTGTGTTTCCCTTTGGCTCCTTTTAGTATCTGTCTGCTGGAGTTCGCTCTGTGTAGTTCCCTGAGTATTATCAATATCACGAACACAAAGGCATAATACCGTGACTGGAACAATACACAAATAATCCGCAAATAGAAAGAGAAACTTTGACTACGTTTCGGTCCGACTTAGACCATTAATTAGTCACGTTGACTGGTTAATGGTCCAAGTCGGGCAGAAATTCGTCATAAAGTTTCTTTCTCTTATGTGCTGTTTTTTTTTTGTTTTGTTTTGTGCGTATTATCTACATCATTCATCTGTTTACTGATCCTGTCATCTAGTATGAGCCCCTAACTTGAACATACGATTAAGGTGGTTTTGGCTTAGATACTGAGTATGTGTAAAAATATTTAGATTTTCACAATTTCCTGTGTAAAATAGGCTTTTTATTGCTTCAGTCTGGTAGGATCATTTTAGTTTCTGCTCTGTGTCAGTAATGTCTAGGTGTAGATTTGCTTCTCTCTGTTGTGACACGCTTCTTTCAGCGGTTCAGTAACTTTTTTCCTTACAACTCAACTTTTCCTTACAACTCTATGACTGAAGAAATACTTCCTACTATCTCTCTGACTCATTTGTGTCTTCAACTTCCAATTGTGGCCTCTTGTTTCTGTGTCCCCTCCCTGGAACATCCTGTCCTTGTCCACCTTGTCTATTCCACGCAGTATTTTATATGTCGTTATCATGTCTCCCCTGACCCTCCTGTCCTCCAGTGTGGTCAGGCCGATTTCCCTTAATCTTTCTTCATAGGACATTCCCCTTAGCTCTGGAACTAACCTTGTGGCAAACCTTTGTACTTTCTCTAGTTTCTTGACGTGCTTTATCAAGTGCGGGTTCCAAACAGGTGCTGCATACTCCAGTATGGGCCTGACATACACGGTGTACAGTGTCTTGAATGATTCCTTACTAAGGTATCGGAATGCTGTTCTCAGGTTTGCCAGGCGCCCATATGCTGCAGCAGTTATCTGATTGATGTGTGCTTCCGGAGACATGCTCGGTGTTATACTCACCCCAAGATCTTTCTCCTTGAGTGAGGTTTGCAGTCTTTGGCCACCTAGCCTATACTCTGTCTGTGGTCTTCTGTGCCCTTCCCCTATCTTCATGACTTTGCATTTGGCAGGATTAAATTCGAGAAGCCATTTGCTGGACCAGGTGTCCAGTCTGTCCAGGTCTCTTTAAAGTCCTGCCTGGTCCTCATCAGATTTAATTCTCCTCATTAACTTCACATCATCTGCAAACAGGGACACTTCTGAGTCTAACCCTTCCGTCATGTCGTTCACATATACCAAAAATAGCACTGGTCCTAGGACCGACCCCTGTGGGACCCCGCTCGTCACAGGTGCCCACTGTGATACATCATTACGTACCATGACTCGTTGTTGCCTCCCTGTCAGGTATTCTCTGATCCATTGCAGTGCCCTTCCTGTTATATGCGCCTGATGCTCTAGCTTCTGCACTAATCTCTTGTGAGGAACTGTGTCAAAGGCCTTCTTGCAGTCCAAGAAGATGCAATCAACCCACCCCTCTGTGTGTGTGTGTGTGTGTGTGTGTGTGTGTGTGTGTGTGTGTGTGTGTGTGTGTGTGTGTATGTGTGTGTGTGTGTGTGTGTGTGTGTGTGTGTGTGTGTGTGTGTGTGTGTGTGTGTGTGATATTATCTGTAGTTAGTATGAGTTACGATGGTAGTGTGTATATTTGTCAAATACATTAACAGTTGTAATGTTAAAGCTTCTAATTCTAACTTTTTGTACTGCAGGTCCTCAATGAAACGTTCCCGGACCACACCTTCCTCATGAACGGCCTCATCGTGGGGATCAAGGTAGGTCAAGCAGTGTGTCACTGACTCGTTGTACTCTCCTATCTGTGGTTGCAAGGGTCGACCCATAGATCCAGCGGCGCTACTCGTCGTGTCAGAAGACGCACCACCATGAAAGCAATATATTACAGCCCAGTTAGTTGACACACCATTGATATCAACTCCATTATTTATTTTATACTCCCCATAGTTTCTAACTCCCCGTACCATATCCCTCACCTGGATTTTAAAGAGGGTGGCGTTACCTTGTTGCGAACAAAACGCGCACACACAATTGTGGAAATATGGTGGTGTTTACAAGGTGCAGGTGTGGAGGTTATGGATGCTGTGATTGGTGGTGGCCTAGGAATATAAAGTGTTCACTGGCAGCCTGAAGGCCATTCTCAGCTCACTGTGTCTATATCAAATTATCGGTATTAGATACCATTTATAATGAGTCTCCTTACATCACCACTGTAGTGTTCCTCAGCTCTCCCCTGGTTACCTGGAGGTTATTCCGGGGATCAACGCCCCCGCGGCCCGGTCCATGATCAGGCCTCCCGATGGATCAGGGCCTGATCAACTAGGCTGTTACTGCTGGCCGCACGCAGTCCAACGTACGAGCCACAGCCCGGCTGATCCGGCACTGACTTTAGGTATCTGTCCAGCTCTCTCTTGAAGGCAGCCAGGGGCTCATTGGCAATTCCCCTAATGCTTGATGGGAGGCTGTTGAACAGTTTTGGACCCCGGACACTTATGGTGTTTTCCCTTAGTGTACCAATGGCGCCCCTACTTTTTATTGGGGGCATTTTGCATCGCCTGCCCAATCTTTTACTTTCGTAGGGAGTGATTTCTGTGTGCAGATTTGGGACCATTCCTTCCAAGATTTTCCAAGTGTAGATTATGATATATCTCTCCCTCCTGCGTTCCAACGAGTACAAGTCAAGTGCTTCCTAACTGTGTCGATGTGCTCTGTCCATCCCTGAGCTGTGTTGAGGCACTCTGTACATCCCCTAGCTGTGTTGAGGTACTCTGTCCATCCCCTAGCTGTGTTGAGGTACTCTGTCCATCCCCTAGCTGTGTTGAGATACTCTGTCCATCCCCTGTGTCGATGTACTCTGTCCATCCCTAGCTGTGTTGAGGTACTCTGTCCATCCCTAGCTGTGTTGAGGTACTCTGTCCATCCCTAGCTGTGTTGAGGTACTCTGTCCATCCTAGCTGTGTTGAGGTACTCTGTCCATCCCTAGCTGTGTTTGAGGTACTCTGTCCATCCCCTAGCTGTGTTGAGGTACTCTGTCCATCCCTAGCTGTGTTGAGGTACTCTGTCCATCCCTAGCTGTGTTGAGGTACTCTGTCCATCCCCTAGCTGTGTTGAGGTACTCTGTCCATCCCTAGCTGTGTTGAGGTACTCTGTCCATCCCCTAGCTGTGTTGAGGTACTCTGTCCATCCCTAGCTGTGTTGAGGTACTCTGTCCATCCCCTAGCTATGTTGAGGTACTCTGTCCATCCCCTAGCTGTGTTGAGATACTCTGTCCATCCCCTAGCTGTGTTGAGATACTCTGTCCATCCCTAGCTGTGTTGAGGTACTCTGTCCATCCCTAGCTGTGTTGAGGTACTCTGTCCATCCCTAGCTGTGTTGAGGTACTCTGTCCATCCCTAGCTGTGTTGAGGTACTCTGTCCATCCTAGCTGTGTTGAGGTACTCTGTCCATCCCTAGCTGTGTTGAGGTACTCTGTCCATCCCTAGCTGTGTTGAGGTACTCTGTCCATCCCTAGCTGTGTTGAGGTACTCTGTCCGTCCCCTAGCTGTGTTGAGATACTCTGTCCATCCCCTGTGTCGATGTACTCTGTACATCCCCTAGCTGTGTTGAGGTACTCTGTCCATCCCTAGCTGTGTTGAGGTACTCTGTCCGTCCCCTAGCTGTGTTGAGGTACTCTGTCCGTCCCCTAGCTGTGTTGAGATACTCTGTCCATCCCCTGTGTCGATGTACTCTGTACATCCCCTAGCTGTGTTGAGGTACTCTGTCCATCCCTAGCTGTGTTGAGGTACTCTGTCCATCCCCTAGCTGTGTTGAGGTACTCTGTCCATCCCTAGCTGTGTTGAGGTACTCTGTCCATCCCTAGCTGTGTTGAGGTACTCTGTCCATCCCCTAGCTGTGTTGAGGTACTCTGTCCGTCCCCTAGCTGTGTTGAGGTACTCTGTCCGTCCCCTAGCTGTGTTGAGATACTCTGTCCATCCCCTGTGTCGATGTACTCTGTACATCCCCTAGCTGTGTTGAGGTACTCTGTCCATCCCTAGCTGTGTTGAGGTACTCTGTCCATCCCCTAGCTGTGTTGAGGTACTCTGTACATCCCTAGCTGTGTTGAGGTACTCTGTCCATCCCTAGCTGTGTTGAGGTACTCTGTCCATCCCCTAGCTGTGTTGAGATACTCTGTCCATCCCCTAACTGTGTCGATGTACTCTGTACATCCCCTAGCTGTCTTGAGGTACTCTGTACATCCCTAGCTGTCTTGAGGTACTCTGTCCATCCCCTAACTGTGTCGATGTACTCTGTACATCCCCTAGCTGTCTTGAGGTACTCTGTACATCCCTAGCTGTCTTGAGGTACTCTGTCCATCCCCTAGCTGTGTTGAGGTGCTCTGTCCATCAGTGAGGTGTGTTGAGGTACTCTGACCATCCCCTAACTGTGTCCATGTACTCTGTCCGTCCCCTAGCTGTGTTAAGGTACTTTGTCCATCCCTTAGCTGTGTTGAGGTACTCTGTACATCCCTAGCTGTGTTGAGGTACTCAGTCCATCTCCTAACTGTGTCGATGTACTCTGTCCATCCCCTAGCTGTGTCGATGTACTTGGTTCATCACCTACCTGTGTTGAGGTACTCTGTCCATCCCCTAGCTGTGTTGAGGTACTCTGTCCATCCCCTAACTGTGTCGATGTACTCTGTACATCCCCTAGCTGTCTTGAGGTACTCTGTACATCCCTAGCTGTCTTGAGGTACTCTGTCCATCCCCTAGCTGTGTTGAGGTGCTCTGTCCATCAGTGAGGTGTGTTGAGGTACTCTGACCCTCCCCTAACTGTGTCCATGTACTCTGTCCGTCCCCTAGCTGTGTTGAGGTACTTTGTCCATCCCTTAGCTGTGTTGAGGTGCTCTGTACATCCCTAGCTGTGTTGAGGTACTCTGTCCATCCCCTGTGTTGAGGTACTCTGTCCATCCCCTAGCTGTGTTGAGGTACTCTGTCCAGCCCCTAGATGTGTTGAGTTACTCTGTCCATCCCTTAGCTGTGTTGAGGTACTCTGTACATCTCTAGCTGTGCTGAGTTACTCTGTCCATCCCCTAGCTGTGTTGAGGTACTCTGTCCATCCCCTGGATGTGTCGATGTACTCTGTCCATCCCCTAGCTGTGTTGAGGTACTCTGTCCATCCCCTAGCTGTGTTGAGGTACTCTGTACATCCCCTAGCTGTGTTGAGGTACTCTGTCCATCTCCTAACTGTGTCGATGTACTCTGTCCATCCCCTAGCTGTGTCGATGTACTTGGTTCATCACCTAGCTGTGTTGAGGTACTCTGTCCATCCCTAGCTGTGTTGAGGTACTCTGTCCATCCCTAGCTGTGTTGAGGTACTCTGTACATTCCCTAGCTGTGTTGAGGTACTCTGTACATCCCCTAGCTGTGTTGAGGTACTCAGTCCATCCCCTAGCTGTGTCGATGTACTTGGTTCATCACCTAGCTGTGTTGAGGTACTCTGTCCATCCCCTAGCTGTGTTGAGGTACTCTGTCCATCCCTAGCTGTGTTGAGGTACTCTGTCCATCCCCTAGCTGTGTTGAGGTACTCTGTACATCCCCTAGCTGTGTTGAGGTACTCTGTCCATCCCCTAGCTGTGTTGAGGTACTCTGTACATCCTCTAGATGTGTTGGGGTACTCTGTCCATCCCTAGCTGTGTTGAGGTACTGTCCATCCCTAGCTGTGTTGAGGTACTCTATCCATCCGCCAACTTTTCTGACGTACTCTGTCCTGGTTCTGCCTCTTCGCTAGTCGCTACTAGGTCCACTCTCTCCCTGCTCCAAAAAACCGACTTATTGTACCTCGTCTTTAAGCTATGTATAGATCCTGCGTTCACTACTTCACTCTTCAGATTGTTCCACTTCCTGACAACTCTGAGGCTAAAGAAATATTTTCTAACATCCCTATGACTCATCTGAGTTTTCAACTTCCAGCTGTGTCCCCCTTGTTCCTGTGCCCCATCTCTGAAACATTCTGGCCCTGTCCATCTTGTTAATTCCTCTTAGCATTTTATACGTCGTTATCATGTCGTCCCTATCTCATGTTTTCCAATGTCGTCAGATTGAGTTCCTTTAACCTCTCTTCGTTTTCCTTGTAGGGCATACCTCTTAGCTCCGGGACTTGGCGTGTTGCAAATTTTTTGAGCTTTCTCCAATTTCTTGACGTGTTTCACCATGTGTGAGTTCCATAATGGTGCTGCATACTCTATTATGGGCCTGACGTACACGGTGTACAGTATTGTGTGTTTATACTCACCTATGTGTGTTTGCAGGGTTTGAGTTACAGATCCTGGCCCCGCCTCTTCGCTGGTTGCTACTGGGTCCACTGTTTCCCTTCTCCAAGAGTCTATCGTACCTCATCCTAAAGCTATGTATGAATTTTGCCTACATCACATCACTTAAAATTGTTCCACTTCCTGACAACTTTAAAGCTGAGAAATATGTCCTAACATCCCTATGACTCATCCAAGTTTTCAACTTCCAGCTGTGTCCTCTTGTCCATCTCTGAAACGTTCTGTCCCTGGTTATCCTATCAATTCCTCTCAGTATTTTGTACGTCGTTATCATATACATACTAGTTGTCTTGTCCTGCAGTGTCATCAGGGTGAGTTCCCTTAACCTGTCCTCATAGAACATACCCCTTAATTCTGGGACTAGTCTTGTTGCAAACTTCTGCAGTTTCTCCTTCTTTTATATATATAAAAGAACTAGACTCACAGGCCATTCGGATTGGTGTTGCTCTTCGC